ATTGGTTGAACGAAGCTTATTTGCCATAATTGATTTGTTACAAGGAACAAAATCTATCTTTTTGTACTTCATATGGCGTGTGGGGGGATGATTTTCATAAAAAATTTCAAATTTCAGAAAAAAAATTTGATTTTATTTTATTTCATTTTATTTTTTTTATGTATTACTGCTGCTCAAAAAACCTTAAAAGGCAGTCGGAACAATCAAGGCTTCGCCTTGGTACGAGCAGTCTTGTTTATATTAACAAAATTTTGAATACGATAATTCCTTTAAGCCATTTTTTTCATGACGTTTCAATTTTTCATGACGTTTCTTACGATAGTTAAGCTACATGCGATCAAGGGCGGATCTAGGACTTTCTCGAGGAGGGGGGGGGGGGGGGGTTCAAAATATTTCCAAAAATTCTGTCAACCTTTGTTTTAGGTCGACCAATATGATTTTCCAGTCGCTCCCGAAGCAATTAAAAACACTATGTTTTGACCAAATTTTCTGCAACGCAGGCAAAATTTTGAAAAAACGCCCCAAAAAAAAAAACGTTTTAGTGCACTTTTTGGAAATATTGTAAATATTGGCGCCTAGGGCGCTGTTAGAAAAGTTTTATGCTCCCTCAGCCAAATCTGGATATCTCAAAATTGTACAAAGACGGACCCTTTAGGTCGGCAGGGGGTCGAATTCCCCCTAAATCCGCGCCTGCATGTCATATCTGGACCAAACTGAAATCAATCAATACAAGCAAATTTTGAATTTGAGCATTTTGTTTTTAGCAGATGCTGATAAAAAAAGCTAAGATGCTCAAAATGCCTGAAGTGCTTAGTATAAAATGAAAAACAAAAAGCGATTGATAAAATTGAAACCTGACTTTAAGAACTTCAACTTTTTTGAGAAATTTACTGGTTGAAATCAACTAAATTTTTTTCAACCATTCTTTCAAAAGAAAAAAGTTAAGAGTACCAAGTAGGCAAATGAACAAACAAAGAGGAACGGTAGAAGAAGTCAAAAGAATTACGAAAGTCTGGACATCGATATCCGATTTGCAGCAGGTGCATGTTTTTCTAAGAAAAATGGTCGGCTTTTAAAAAATGCAAAAACTTTGTCGACAATTTTATTAGTCAACCATATTGACTTTTGAAGCGCTCCTAAACATTATAAAGGCCTTATTCGGTAATATTTTTTGACTCCGTTATTTTTTCAAAAGAATACCGATCAAACGTTATGTTCTTTTAGTGCGCTCTCCCTCTTCAAACTTAAGGGTTGGTTGACCAAAAAATTTACCATAAAAAGAATTAAAAATGTGAAATCCGGTTTACCGAGCTCTGCGAGCAGTATTCAGTACTAAAAATTATTCTTTGCACAAATATGTGAATTGTTCAGACCAATTAGGTTGCCTCAAATCAGTTTCACGGTATCCAGAAAAATCAAAGAAAAACATCACTCTTAGAAAAAACCTTGAAGAAGTTTTTGCCAAAGTTTTGATGATAAGCAGTTTGTTTTGTCAGATCAAAAGTACATCCAAATCTTATTTTAATTGGTCCGGCTTTTCAATAGTTGTATCATAGTCTATTTTTGTAATATACCAGAATCAGCGTACATTTTTGGCAACGAAAATTTAAGAGACGTTGGATAATTACAATAAATAGCGTAGAAACCACAAATTTGGTGATTTACGGTTGTAGACTTTTAAAAGTACAATCATATGTTTTCGATGAAAAAAATCCTGTTTCAACGGATGTTCCAGTTATTGCTTTTGAGTTTACCATTTGAATAGATTTTGCTTCAAGCCAAAAGCCTATGTTTCTAGTAGAAAGATTTTTTCATTCTAAAGAAAATTTGCTCATGATACAATTCCATACAATTTCATAGCAAAAACGAATTGTGTGAAGGATAAGCAATTTTTTTATGCGTAGGGATTGCACGATAGTCAATTTTTAAGGCTATTGAATTGTATGAAAGCATTTTTCTCAAATGACCAAACCTATAGGTTAAAGGGCATTGAAGTCGCAGAACGGCATAGAGAACGGTTAAAGGGCATAGACGCCAATTCAGACAAAACTTCGTGGCCTTTTTTGTTGGACATATTTAGGTCGTATATTTTTATCTACAACTGAGAAGTACAAAATCTGCCGCCATCACAAAGAATCTTCAAAGTGACTCTTGTTTCTTTTAGGTTAAATACTGTGCGTGGAGAAGGTTAAGTGCAAAAATTTGAAAAGTTGCATGCAAAAAAAAAATTTTGGTAAACGTTTTTCTTATCATAAAGCTAGTGTTTTAAACTAAAACGAGAACTAAATTATTTTTTCTTGTTTTGGAAGTTTTTTTATAGAAAAAAGTCTCATCATCATGTCTGACAAATTTGTTATTATTTATTGAAGTATCAGGTATTACTTGTTTTGATAATTTGAATTACGACATGGGCTAACAAGGTCAAGAACTGGATAACTTTATAATTGAGCCTGAAAGTTGTCAAACATATCTGCCATTGAATTTGACGGAAAAATTGTCCGTAAAAATGGTCTGACCTTATGAAGGATGAGTTTGAGGGTTCGTTGGACGATCCAATAGAGTCGGCATCCGAAGCAGACACCACTCCCACTACTGAGCCCAAAGGGATGCCCTCTGTCACTTCAAAGTGGACTGAGTCCGAGATAAACACAGGTGCAAACTCATTGTCATCTTTCACTGTTATCTCCACCTGAAGATTAATAACTGAATTCAAAGATCCTCGAGTTAACTTTCTCTCCTATCTGATCTTTGTGTTCATAGATAAAACAATGACAACCGGTTGCTGTGCATCTAGCACCATTACGGCCACACTCACACTAGTCAGAAGATCAAAACAACCAAGAAAAAATTCAAAAATCACTATTATGCAAAGAATTTTTGCCAAATTTCTGCCCCAAGCAAATGCCAAATCCATGCGCGCACCAAAAAAAGTGCCCTAAAAATTCATTTTTGATCAGTTTGATGTTTGTTTTTTTTTCCAAAATTTGCGTCCGCCCCCTAAAGAAAATGCTAGATCCGACCCAGTATCGTTTATCTTCGAAACAAACACCGGGATCAAATTTTTACTCCAAAGTTGTTGTTTGTTTAAGAAAACACTGATTTAATATTGGTTCAATTGTTGTAAAGGTCTATGAAAAAAAACAACAAGATCAAACCTGGCATGATGAACTCAAAGTGGGAACTCCGTTGTCCTGAACCGCCACTGTGATCACGTGACTGGTTTGCTCTTCATAGTTAAGTTCAGACTTCAAGGTCATTTGACCGGTCGCAGAATCAATGGCAAACTTTTCCGAGTCAGCGCCTGAATTTAATTTTTTTTTGAAAAATCATTGAGACAAAAATTAATGCCAATCATGTTTACCTTCAAATCAATGCTTATTACGACTTCTACTCCAAAAAAACTTATTTTCAAAACTGTTTATGCAATAGTTAATTATTAAAATAACTAATAATGCCTCTAATTCTTACTTCAATTGGATAAATGTTTTTTTTTAAAATATCATTAAGAAATTTGAAAATTTCAAATAATAAAAAACAGCACTAACCTAATGCAGCTATGGTGTAAGTGATGTCCGAATTGGGTCCTTTTTCGTCCATATCAGTGGCGTGTACTTTCACAACTGGTGTGTTCACATGTGCTGACTCGTGAACAACCACCCTGTAGGGATCAGCCTCACACCTTGGCACTTCGTCGTTCACTTCTGACAACACAAAAGCGGGCGAGATGAAGAAAAAATAATAGTTTTGTGAGCTTTTTATTTGCGATTTGTCCAGATGTCGCCCAAAAACTTTGCAAAAATGTATGAAGTTTGTATGACTAGCATTTTTCCATAGACTAAGTGTATGAATTTGCATGATTAGCATTTTCGGTCTATGGAGGTCAACCCGGGTTGACATTGAGATTTTTTGCGTTACAAGTTTATGCGTCAAATATGAGATTTTGTCCAACTTTTCACTGCAGTCTTCTGTTCAGTAAAAATGAATTTCCAAGAATACGATTCCTTAAAACTTGTCCATTACAAATTATTTTTTCACTTTTTAGGTATCTTATAAATACAGTATTCTTTTTTGTTTCGAGTTATGAAAACAAAAATCCCAAGACAAAGTACACCCAAAGACAAAATTACTCCCCTTTTTCAATAGTCGGAATAAAAATTTCAGTTGACGCTAACTAAAAGAATAATGGTTGACAAACGTACCTAGTATATGTATGTAGACCAGAGCAGTACTGTTCTTAATCGGCTGACCCAAGTCCTCGGCCACAATCTCAACCACTCTCGTGTCCACTTCTTCCCTGTCCAGGTCACTATTGGTCGAAATGATTCCAGAAATTGAGTTAATGCTAAATAGGTTGTCTCCACTGTTGACTACCATGAAGAAACGTACTTGTCCATTGGCACCTGTGTCCGGGTCCAGAGCAAATACCTGGAACAACCAGTGGTGACAAAAGATTTTGAATACTTTAAAAATCTTTGGTTTCACTCGATAAGTAATAGGATGTCATTTCACCTGGTCTGAAATTCACCTGGTGGACTCGTGAGAGACGTTGGGGTTGGGGTTGGGTGTAAGTGGTGGGGCAAAGTGGTGAAGAATGTGTTCATTCGTCCTAGAGTTTTAAAGAAAGCTGCAAAAAAAACAATTATAAATTCGCATCTACTAACAAAAATCAATTTTCATTGAACAAAAAATGCAAAAAAAAAACTAGGATAGCCAGTTACTCTGTGCAAATAGCCTCAAATGTCTTAGAAAACTACAAAGCTTTTTTTTCTTCAATTTAGTAACGTTTTCTCTGGGTGGTGTGATGAAAGGATATCAACAAAAAACAGACTAGAACGGAGGCATATTCAACATTCAAAGTAAAGTAGGCAAATTTAGCTTAGAACTGAGGCATATTCGACAGGCGAAGTAAAGAAAGCAAGGTAGTCCCCCCCGTTCACACCCGGCCCCCAGTTTAACCCCCCCCCCCCTATACCCAGTTTATCCCCCTCCCCCGTTTACTCCCTCCATATTACCACCCCAGCTTATAACCCTTGTGATATAGTGTCCCTTCGGATGGCTGTGGAGATCTATCTCATCGTTTATTGTAATAATACCGAGCTCTTCGGATATTAACTAGCGCTACTGGATATCAATTGTTATTGTTTTGGAATCATAAATTATATGTCTCGAGCGGTTAAGACATATCTCACTTTTAAGGACACAAGATTCGGTTCTTAACCTCTGGAAAAATGCTAGTCGATCGGCGCAGGTTGGAGAAAGATTGGATCAGTGTTAACATAGTTAAATAAATAAAAATGTATCAGCTTCATTTCATAAGCAAGGTTAATTAGGTAATATATTATAGCATATGAATGCATAAAATCGTGCAGCGATGTCGAACTACATCACAAGAAGAAATCTTTCCAGGCGATGAAGTGTTTGACTGTTAAAAATTAAAAATAATTTACTTGAAAAATTTACAATCAGATTGACAAAAGAAACGCTATCTTCTGAATCATTTAGTTGATCTCAAATATTTAATTACTTCAATGATTTATCAAACTACGGTTTTAGTTCACTTTAAGGAATGGCTGAAAACATTGAATTAAGTTTAAAGGGGAAATAACTTAAAGGGCACAGAAAGCCACATTGAGTCGGATAATGGGAGTTAAATGATAAATGATAAGGTCAAGTCAATGACATCATGATTTTGTCAGTGAAGAGCTTTAATTAAATCTGCAGGGCAAGTATTTTTTGTCGTCTCCCATTAGTGATTCATTATCTCATTTGAGGTTGTCGTTTTGATATCATGGTGTTCTGTCGAGTTGTTTTGACATATTCCTTGTGCTCTTTTGATGCTGAAGTTGATTTGTATTTTGTCAAATGAGACAATTCGAAAATTTTCAGGTGTCTCTTTTATTGAGAGTTTATTTCAAACAGGTCATTAACGGTCATTTGTTTTGTAAAAGTACTCTCAATTTTCAAAGTTTTTTTTCAACCACGTAAGCAATTTGTACTTGGTCTACATGCTTATAAATTGAAGATTGGTTGTGGGATGTATCCACTTGTTTCAGAAGATGTCTGTTCTTTTTTCGTTTAGAATGATGTTGCTCTTGCTGGCAAAATCTCTGCGAAAAGTCGTAGATCTTCCTTTTTTTCTAAGTCAAAGTTCCACTTTTTCAACGATAAGTTTGCATTGTTGCGACTATCATCCTGTGCGGAGTCTGATTTTTGATTTTTGATTTTCAGCTCGTCTACAGACACTGCATGGCACTCCTATTACTTTTCAGTATTTGGACTGCCTGTTAAGGTTGTCCTAACAGTTCCAGTTGATACTGACTGGCGCATTGAGAATGTTTCAATTCCGCTTTTTGTGCAAGTGGATTCCTCGAAAAACTTTTCTGTTTTTCCTATCTTTATACATGGTAGATTATGATATATAACTTTTTTGATTTTGTACTGCTAGTTCGCTGGCGTTGCACGTGTTCCACATTAGGGTTATAAAAGCGATCAGCGGTGTTAGGTGTTATTGGGGGGCCACCAACCATTTTTTTTCGTAATTTTAATACGTGGGCAACAGGTGATTTTTTGAGTTATCCATGAAGATGTTGCCTCCTAGGGGTTGAATTCGTACAGGTGCCTCATTTGTGTATTCTCTGTGAATAGAATCAAAATTTTCAAAATCCGCTCACTGTGTTGTTGGGGGTCACCAACCATTTTTTCGAAATCTTAGTACGCGGGCAACAGGTGGTTTTTCCAGTTCTCCATGAAGAAGATCTTGCCTCCTAGTTGATGGACTTCGTTGAGGTTCCTTCTTAGGGTCATGTATATGATCCTTTGTTTAGAAGCCGTTGCATTACGTATAATGTGACTTTGAAGTCCGTTTTTCGAAAAATTTCGAGGTGTAAAAACTAAACTTTTTCGGAATTTCTTTTCTGCGTTTCAAAGTTGTTATTTTCTAGTTTCCGAGGCATCAGTTGGCTGCGCTTTGGACTAACAATGGTTTGAGTGCATGCTAAAACGGTATTGAGGGATATTTTGGCCTGTCACTTAGCATAATTGGAGATTTTGATGTTCATTTTTTCGAAAATGTCGCTGATAAGAAGGAAAACTCTACTTTCTGTCAATTTGTCAAAGAAACTGCAACTGAAGATCCAACTATTGGTGTTTCAATGCTTTGAAGGTTTGGTCTGATGCATGGATAGGCACTGCTAATTTGTTATGCTTTTCCTTTGCTCATGGAAAGTAACTTGAGAAACATTTCCTGGTCCGACAAAGATATCTTGTTCAGCCTAAAATTAATTCACCGAATCTTTACTGACGCCAGGTCTGTCTTTACGTTTTGTTTTATTCAGCTGCTTCGCTCGTTTCACACTATCGTTCAGTGTATTTGTTTTTGTTCCACCTGCCGGAACGTGTTCATTTGCCTCCTCTGCTTTCTTCCGTGTTTTCGCTTGATTATCCACCCGAGTTGATTTTTGACTGGGAGGAATAGAACTATTATGTGTCCATTTATTGTCCTCAATACGTTTTTTTGAGGTTGCTGCTCGCGTGGTGGAATATGGTGATGTGATATCGCGCATCTTTACTAAATCGATTTTGGCTTTATATCTTGTCTCGCGCTTCGACTGCTGCTTTGCACTTCGTTCTTGGCTCGTCCATTTTATGACCATTATTTCCATTTCCTAGATTAGCAGTGGTTGGCGCTGCTACCGCTGCATTGTGCGTGGTCTCATCGGGAATGAGTCTTTTGTTGTTTTCAAACGTAGGTAGAGCTAATGGTTCTGGGTCTGGGTCCGGTGGAACTGCTGGTGGCCGCAGTGCTGCTATTGGTAGCGGTAAGGGCGGTAATGGCGCAACCATTGGTGGTGCTGCTGCCGGAGGATTGGGTTCTGCTGCTAGACCTCCAATGACAGTCGAATTCGTGCAGGCGCATCAGTAACGAGGCTCTGCCCACCGTTCTTGGGTGGGATGTCTTCTAGGAGTTTATGCAAATAATCGTCGAAGAGTCCTGGTCTTGGTTAACAAAGTGTTACTTCTATTGCTTGTATCAGATCAAGTTTTCGTTGCTTGTATCAGTTCAAGACTTTTGTGATGCTCTTAGTTTGTTTGAAATGCAACATCTTTTCTGAGTAGGCGATAAAATGTTATCAGTTTCTTTTAGGCTTGGCATATAGTTGCGAAAGAACTGTACAAATACGTTTAGTCAATTAACTTGTTTAACTGTTTATAGCACTTTTAATTTCATTAGGAAATTTTAGATTTTTTCTTGTTCAAGTGACATTCCTTGACTTCATTTTTTGTGTTCCAATCTCGGATTTATTCGGCGACATTTTAAGTCTTACATTCGTACATTCGAAGGTTTTCGAAAGAGTCCTTATCATTTGATCGAAATTATACACTGCGCTCCCTATGTTGTCCATGAATTGTCAACATAGATCCGCAGCTAGGCATGGATCAAGGTAGTGTCGAATAAACGAACTGAATCCTGTAACTGAATTGGTTAGACCTTGGGTCAAGCATTTGTAGGCGTAAGTTCGTGGACCGAAATTAATTGCCAAAAGTTAAATTGAAAGGTCATCTGCCATTTTCACAAAATGATATGATTGCGAGCATCCAACTTGATACGCAAACTTTTTCCTGCGAAATGTTTTGATGCATCGGTTATTTTTGAGAAAATTGGTGTTAATATAGTCATTCTTGAATGAATGGTTTATCCTTCGGAGGTCAATCAATATCCACACTTTACCAGATTGCTTTCGATGCAAAAAAAGTGAACTGCGGTATTTTGAATGTGACAATGTTGTTATAAGTCCATAATAGTGCATATGGGTAAATTGCACCGTCAATTTGTGTCGCAAATGTATGGGCGTAGTTTGTCCTTGTGTGTACAGAGGTCGTGTGTGTTACGGTTTTTTTTTAATTTTGAGGTCGATGGGTTTTGGAAATGATGTTTTTTGTATGAAGGATTTCCTAAAGTTTTTGAGTTGGCTGCTTGAAGAACGAGAAATGTATCTAAACATGTCATGTTTGGCAATTGGGTTTGTAACACTACTTCGGTTTCAAAAGAGACTTGTTGTCCTACTGCCATTCTTACTCTTTTAAGTTTTGGTTCCTTCACTTCAAGAGGACAAAATAGCGACTTTTTAGGTCTTCAAATGTCTTTTTTGGAATAACATTTGCACAATCTCCTGTATCTACCATGTCTCTTAATTGTATTCCAGATGAGAAACGTTTTTTCGTGTGCGTCAGTATGGTTCCTTTCGCTGAAGTTTTGCCTAAAGACTGATATCTTATAATGCTGAATTGTTTCGTTTGATGATGATTTAGGTAGTTTCGATGATTTGGGAAGCTGACTCGGTGGCTTTATTATTTTTCGGCTCACTCTGGAACGGGAAGTTTTGACCGCGTCCTTGTGGTTTTTCTCGCAACCTGCATTGACTTGCTGTCTGCCTAAATCTTCCACAAACGTCACAAACTTTGACTGATGATCGCACCATTGGTACAAAGGTTCCATTGGGAGCTTGCATTTCAGCTGGTGGTATTTCAGCTTCAATCGCAGTTGTTCTAACTTCAAAACATGAAATTCTTGGAGCTGGGCATTGCAAAAAAGATCCCGGAGGGCTATGAGACTCGCACAAACTTTCTCTCGAGTAGCTGGTCCCAGTGTCTGATAGAATCGCAGCGCGTTATTTCGTAGATTCAGTTGAAAGAAGTTCGCTTGTTGGCCAGGATCAATTCCTGCTATTCGTACGTAACCTTGGAATAGTTGCTCGAATTGTAAAAAATCTTCTTTTTCCGTTCCTTCGTAGAGTTCGACCGAATTTCGCGCGTGTGCCATCGTAATACAATTGAAAGAAAATCAATTTAGTGATACAGTTAATGATAAGACACAGCATTTAATCGAAATTCGAATTGGGGGAAACACTAAAAAAATTGTTAATCAATTGGGCTTTGAAAAGCAGCAAGTGTTATCACTTATAATTGCTAATCAGGTTTTGATGCTTCAATTATAAGGTAGTGCTGATTAAACATTTACCTCACTTTAATGATGGGGCAACTTAATGCCAATTATTTCAATTTACTGCAAGTTAGAGTTTCGAGTTTTGGTTTAATTTACTGTTTTTGTTGAATGATGAAAACCTTTTTATCTGCTTTTTTTTTGTCTGTCTTGTCAGTAGCTCTGACTTGCCATCTGACTGGAACATGAAAGAGAGATGTTGTAGGTCACAATCCACATCTGCTTCTGTAGATTAAAAACACTGTCATCCCAGACGGTCTTTTTTCCCTCTCTATCTGTGTCAGTTGTTCGATGAGTGTTGCTCTGCTAACCACAACTGAACATTGCTCGGAGAATCGGGTTGTTTTGCCTTGTTTTGCTTCAGCAAAATGCGGTTGTCACGGCTGCTCGTATGTTGTAGTCTTCAATTGCCCATGACTTTTGGTGAACCCGGAAGAAGAATCTTCCGCGAAGGTCACCATGTGTTATAGTGTCCCTTTGGATGGCTGTGAACAGCTATATTGTCGTTTTTTGTAATAATTGCGAGCTGTTCGGATATTAGTTAGCGCTACTGGCTATCAATTGTTATTGTTTTGAAACCATAATTTATATGCCTTGAGCGGTTAAGAAATCTTACTTTTAACGACGCAGGATTCGGTTCTTAACTTCTGGAATATTGCTAGTCGATCGGCTCAAGTAAGTGTATGATTGGAATTTTTTTAGTTGATTCCTATCCGCTTGATATTCAGCTCGGTATAATGGTTCAATGATTGCTTTTAATTAACATCAGTGTTTACATAGTTAAAAAAAGGTAAATGTATGAGCTTCATTTCATAAAGATTTCATAAAGAAGGTTATTTATGTAGTCCGTTATAGCATATGAATGCTTGACACTATGCAGTGACGGCACAACACTCTACTCTGCTCTAAAAAACAAGCAAAAATACACCCTTTCACTTACTTAAGTGGAGTAATCGGTGGTTGTGGGGGTGAAGCGGAATTCAAAAAAGAGTGTAAAGGGGGAGGAGTGATAAAAGTGGGTGGGGGGATAAATATCTGAGTTCAATACTGGCAATTCATTTATGAAAGTGTATATATCAAGAAGGCCGTTTTTTTTGATGGCAAGCAACAATTTATGCCGAGCTGCAAAACAAACGAATCAAAACCCCGAGGCAAAAATTCTAGAAATCTGAAATTACGACAAATACTTGGCCAAACTACGCATTGGATAGGAGCACAATTTGGTGTCTGTTGGTCACTGGAACCCTGATACATGTTCTAAAATGTTCTAAAATGTGCATGGATTCCACTTACAAAGTTATCGTTGATTCCGGGTTCAAAAGTTGGTTTTGTTGCAGCACATTAGTTTTGTTGCGGACTCCGCAACCAGCAAACATAGCTAGTTTTTCCGGACTCCCCAAATGTAAGCGGGTTTCGTAAAATGGAAAAAACGGGCTCCGGAAAACGTTAGTGAGACTCGATGCGATTTGAGAAAACAGTTGGTCCGTGATTTGTTTACATTAAGAAGATAAATTGCGTCAGAAGATACGTTGAACAGAGAAAAACGCTGAAGACAGCGATGAGATTTGAACAAAGTTATCAATATAAAGGGTTGTATTGGAATACAGCAACAATTCTAGCTACATGAAGCACTTCTTCCATGTAGATCAAATAAAAGCCACTTACGGAAGTAAAAAAAAATGTATATCAAAATAATATAAAACAGAATTGACCCCTCAATTTTGGAAGAAAACGTGACTACAAGAAATTGTGTAGTAGATATAGAAAACCATTTGGAAAACCATCATTTTAATTTTGTGTTTGTTTCGGAAAGAGAAGTTTAAATTGATCCAAACGTTTTGTTCCCATACTTAAAACATTCTTCATTTGGAAAAAGAATCCATCAAATATGCAATGTTTTACCAGAAAAATAATTTGTACCTGTCCAACTGAGAGCGTGGGAGGTCCCTCCTCTACAAAGAAGGAGTAAACGGAGGCATTGAACTGAGGAGGCTCATCATTCGCATCCAGCACATATACCACTACAGTCGTCTCTCCGCTTAATTGAACAGGGGATCCAAGGTCAGTGGCTGCCACTTGGAACTCAAACGAGGACTGCTCCTCGTGATCCAGGTACCTAGAAGATTCATTTTCTTGAACTCCTATAAAAAGTGTTCAAAGTTGCAAGGAATCGCTAGTTGAAATAGACATTTTGTAGGAAGCAATTTGCTATTAATAACACTATTTCTACTTCGTTTGAGATTTTTGACTACAACTGCTAAACTCGGAATAAAACGCCATCAATCAAGCCAAAATGCCACATAAACTGCAAGATGACCATTTTCAAAAAAACAGCGTCGAGAATGCATGACTTTTTTTTGATGGCATGATCTTAAGTTTTGTATCAAATACATATTTTTGTAGGACATTTGTACCTGGTTGCATATATGATACCAGACAGTGAATCGACTCCAAATACTCCCAACACCTCTGGATCTGAAGACTTCAAACTGTAGACCACTTCTGCATTGGTTCCGGAGTCCAAATCAAGAGCCAAAACAGTCCCTATCAGTTCAAAGGACGCCAAATCTTCCCTTATTTGGAAAAAATAGGTGTCCTCTGTGAATTCAGGGACATTGTCATTGACATCAGTTACCGAAATTGTAATTTCTGTAGAAGCACTCAATTGAACATCTCCCGAATCAGAAGCAATAATCGTCAATGAAATCGAAGAATTAGTTTCGAAATCCAACGGTTGTTTAAGAGTAACGAAACCCTCATCAGAAATTTCGAATTGTGTGTTTTCGGGTGCAATAGTGTAAAGAAGGATGTTGTTCGGCGATTCTACGTCGCCGTCGGCAGCTTTTACTTGAGCTACAGTACTGCCAATCGAAGAATCTAAGCATAATCATAGGCAAATGGTTTGAATCATAATCAGGCAAATTTTCACTGAAACCCAATTTTGTCACCCCACTCTTCTGGTTCTAAGAGTTTTCTGTAACTACAAAGTTTGTAAGCAAAAACTACAAGCTTCAAAATCTGAAAAGGGTTCATAATACTTCTTTTTTCGAGTTTTTTTTTCTCAAAAAACTCAAACAACTGCCTAGCCTAGCTTAATTTCGTAGATTTTCCTTGACTGCTCATTGTGGTTTTGTGGTTCTCATGATGTCGTTATTAGTATAACCAAAAAAGTTGAACTGACATGCAATCTTTTCAATTACCTTCAGCGGCAAAAAATGTGTCCTGTAAGTGAACAAACGCCGGGATAACATCATTGACATCTTTCACTCTTATCTCAACCTGGCAGTACCCTATGGCAGTTGGATCGACGTCACTCTTGGCCGAAACAGTTACTAAGTGGACAGATACATCTTCTGCATCTAATTCGGAAACCACTGAGACGTCTCCCGTTGATTCATTAATTGCAAAGCTTAGGCTTCCTGAGCCTTCGATCGAATAAGATATCGGATGAGTTTCTTCACCTGAAAATATCAGCAAGATATTTTTAGAGACAGATCATTTTGCACACGTGACCTAGGGTCGATTAAGGCTATTATCACACCCCTCTTGTTTTGGAGGCACATTTGCCCAATTCATTACAGGACTGCAAGAGATGATAGGGGTGATATGAGTGAGGTGCAAAATCTAGGATTTCATCGAGGGGAGGGGGCGGATTTTCAAATTACAAAACTTAGATGATCTTTTTCTATTTTTTTCAGGCCAACCAAATTTATTTTTTGAGCTCTCTCTTAAAACAGTGTGAAGTATCTATTTTGGCGAAATGTAAAACCCTCCCACTACACTTAAATCTGCCCCTGGGTGTTAAATAGGTATCGAATGAGAAATATTTATAACGTGGACTGCAATTTCCAATGATCTCTGAAAACAAATGTAAAATTAGATCTCTAGAGCCAATTTTCGGAGACACATGTATGATACCAAAGAAAACTTGACCAAGAAAAAGGAACTTCGGTGTAGAAACTTGAATTTTTATTATCCTCATCAAAAATACAATTACAGCAAGACCGAGCATTACAAAATAGTTCTTAAAATAAATTCACCTCTGCATAGACATTGAGACGTCGTCATTATCGTATTCTTCAAAAAACACCAATTAGCCGTTCATATCTCAACGTGCTTTTCAGACAAAAATCTAGATCAACTATTACAGCACGCAAACGCTTCAACAAAATAATTCGAGCTATTGTGAAGCTTCTAATGTAATTAAAATCAATTTTAGCTTATTATGTGCCGTCTATTACACCACAAAAACAGCTCAGAAAACCAACAAGACTTAAGGTTTATGGAGCAGTAATAACAATTAAAAAAGAAATGTAATAAAACAAAAATATTTTTTTTTCTCTAAAATTTGAAATTTCTTATGAAAATCATCCCCCACACGCCATATAAAGTACAAAAGGATAAATTTCGGTCCTTGTAACAAATCAATTAATGCAAACTAGCTTGTTTCAAACAATTTGGAACGATTTCAAGACGGATTAAATCTCCGCTTACGCGTTAATAGCGCGAAACAGATCGCTGGTTAATTGTCCCAATTTGGCCAAAATGGAAATCTTTAAGACCCCGTAACTTTACAAAAAACGATCACAGGTAAAATATCATTTCAAATTTAAGCTCAGAACAACAATGCCTTTTGAATGATATAAAAAAATTCCGTCAAAAATGGCTTGTTAAAAAGTCGAAATTTGTCTGAAGAAAAAAAAACCCACCCCGAGCACAAATATTCTGTTACTTTCGTATCGAAAGTCGTAACAACAAGTCTGCTCGTATTAAGACAATAACCTAGATGCTCCGACTGTTCGTAAGCCTGAAAAAAAAGTTTGCTCCGAAAGTTAATATTAGTTAATCCTTTTTTTTTTAATATAATTTTGATCTTATTTTCTTCTGCCCGCGCTATGTCAAGTAAAATGGAACAAGACTGCTCGTATCAGGGCAAACTGCTGAATGTTCCGACTGCCTTTTAAGGTTTATGGAGCAGCAGTAATAACATAAAAAAATTGAATGAAATAAAAAAAAATGAAAATTTTTTTTTCTGAAATTTGAAACTTTTTATGAAAATCATCACCCCACACGCCATATAAAGTATAAAAAGATAGATTTCGTTCCTTGTAACTAATCAATTACGGAAAAGAAGCGTCGTTCAACCAATTTGGAACGATTTATAAGACGGATTAAATCTCCGCTTACGCGTTAATAGCGCGAATTATATCGCGCGTTAATTGTCCCAAATTAGTCAAAATGGCAATCTTTAAACCCTCATAATTTTACGAAAAATGATCACAGGTAAAATATCTTTTCAAATTTAAGCTCAGGACAACAATACCTTTTGAATGATATAAAAAATTCTGTCAAAAATGGCAAAAATGGCTAGTTAAAAAGTCGAAATTTGTCTGAAGAAAAAAAACCCACCCCGAGCACAAATATTCCGTTACTTTGGTATCGAAAGTCGGAACAATAAATGTAGCGTCTCGTATTGTTATATAACACTAAATTTTTGATCTCAGTTCATTTTTGGTGTTTTAGGTTGCTTCTCATGTGTGATATAAGAATCCCATAGTCTTACAAAAGTAATCACATAAAGCTCAAGACAAAAATATTTTTGGGATGCTAGGAAAAACTTTGGCAAAACGCTGAGCTTAAAAGTCGAAACTTGACAGATAAAAAAAGCAATCATATTCTATAATTTTTTTCAAAAATCTAATGCTTGCTGGTATCAGGACCCAAATTGTTCCGACTAAGGATCAAATGTAGATTTTTTGAACAAAAAATAATGAAAAGATTACAATGACCTATTGCGTTCTAGAAAGCGCACAGATATGTGCGTGCATGACCAAGGAATCCGGAGACAAGCCCTTAAAGATATCAGAAATTGTAAAAAAAACATACACCAATTTCGTCCGGACTTCTTAAGATACTAAATTGTATTTTTAACTTTGTCGGCATAACCAAGCGAAGAATAAAGAGATTACGGCAACGAACAAAAAAATTAAAGCAACGACCAAAAAGATCAAAGCATTGAACAAAAATGTGGACCTGCTCCTCTATGTTTTAGCCATATGTCACTGAATTCTAAAGCAGCAAAAAATTCTGAAAAAAACTAGCTTTGTTGCGGACTCCACGGCAAGATCCTGTCTAGTTTTGTTGCAAAATCCTCGTTTAAGTCAAAGTTACACAATTTGGGTTAGTATCGAGTTTAAAAGAACACGAGTTGGATTTTTTGGCAAATCTTTTCCCAAACGCGAGTTTACGTACATGCTAAATTTTTGTAGTACAGCTTTACTAAGAACAACTGGCTTGCTGTATTTCAAACTAAATAGTTTGAGAGTCCGCTTAACTTGCCGTTTTGCTACGCGTTAATAGAAAAACATTCAACGGCACAAATTAGTTATCTCAAATTGACGAAATTAGTGCCAACTACAAACTTTGCAAATACTAGTTAAAAGTTAATTTTTTTTTCTTTCTGAGCGCAAGGTTTCAACATTTTTTCAACTTCGAAAACTGTTAGCTGAAAAATCAAAGTCAACTGGTGCAAAAAAAATTACAGAGATCAAATATTCCGTCATTGAACTCAAAAATCCGAAAACAAATCAGTGCGGTCATAGCTTTACTGCAGAAATTTCAAGAAACGTTGAACTCTATCGGAGATCAGACATAGACAATGCTCAGCCATCTCAGTTCGTAAAATTATATGAGTTAATTTTTGCGGCACTGGGTCATCGAAGAATGGGAAGATTCCCAGCAATGATTTTGCGTAATGTCCGAGAAAACTTTTTTGTTTCCAGCACTTATGTGTTTGCTGCAGTATTATGCAAAAGTGGATAAGATTGTTTAATGAAAGTTTCTTACTACTTCTACTTCTGACCAGTAAACCTTGATTTTTTTCTTACGACTCTAATACATGAACAAGTGCAAGAACGCAACTGCTCGGTCAGTCTAGACCTGTAAAACACTACGCTGATCCAAAAACGCCCGCATCAGATTATTTGAATAGCTGAAGAGGTTCAGACAGCCGAAATTTCAACAGAACTGTAAAGTTTAAATGACGGACTTAAAATTAATGACGACATTTTTCTAAAAAACGTTTCTAGCAAAACCCCACAATTATACCACGACTCCAAAACTTGTTAGTGGAAAATCAGTTGCACTGAGCAAAAAAAAATTTTGTAGCACTTAATAGCGAGTTCGAGTCACAGTAGATCATTCTTTTTGTACACTAAAAACCATCTCAGATATTTTATCAAGTCGGAATGTTTCCTCGATGATTGCGCATTGTTAGAGTATTGTGATATTTGATTTCTAATCTTATTTCTAGTCAAAGTGAGGTTTGCATGAGCCAAACCAGATGCAGCGCTTGAGTTAGGCTGATAAATTAACGAAACAACACATTTTTCAAACGACGGATTGCTACGCTTGAAGAAACTACAAAGCCATTTTATTGTTTTAATTAGTTTTAGATTTCTGTAAAAAGGCCGACTCAATTCATTAGTTTTAACTAGTTTCAGATTTCTGTAAAAAGGCAGAATCAATTCACATGTCATGTGTATATTTTGCTTTATTTTCCTTCACATGTCTACTGAACCATTTCCCAGGCTGACCTTTATTCACAAAAAAAACTTATTATACAATTCCAAAAAAATTTCTCTTTATGTAATTATTTAAATGGATTGCATGGAAAACTAGTTTTTAAAATTTCTATTTTCGATGATTGTATGATAAACTTTCTTACATTTTTTTTCTACACTAAAATTTACAAAAACAGGGAAAAAAGTTGATCCTCTTTTTAAACGCAATTCAAAATCTTTTTAGTCTCAAATCCACTTCTTTCGAAACAAATTGCATAAGAACACGCCAAAAAATTAAATCATTGAAGTTTTTGAGTTGAAAACTTTCCAGCCAAATACGAAAAGTTAAGTTTTCTATTAATAACTTCTATTTGACTGAGTGAAATTCTGCGCATTATCTTACATAGCCAATCGTCAATCTCCAAATGCAGTTTATCTGCAAGATTATTGCTAATTACACAGTTTGTTTTCTCATTCAAAAATATAATTTCTCTTTCTCTTGTTAATTTTTCTAATTATAGCTTTTAGTGATTTTTTAAATACATTATCCTACAAAGCTAATCTCTTAATGCAGTTTAGCTGCAAACTAGTTGATACTTCATTAAGAGGCCAAAGTGTGCATTTTGCGAATTTAAAGCGGATTCTACAACAGGCCGAAAACAGATTTGTTGCAGAACCCGCAACATAGCTATTTTTATTAGATCTTCTATGATGTTTCGGGTTCCACGGACAAACAGCTAAAACACTGTATTGCTCAAAACTGCTCCAAAATCAGGCAACATCGCGGAATCCGTAGCAAAATTTGCGGAATCTCAAACAATTTGCCGCACCGGCAAACAAATAGTAATATATGCGTTTAGTAAACTTGAACTGTCGTGGAATCCAACCACGACAGCAAGCGGAATCTGCAAATTGCTTGAGGAATCTGGAAATTTATGCGGATTTCGCCAATTGTAAACGGAATCCGCATAAAAGTATGGAATCCGCCCACTTTTGCAGAATCCGCTTACATTTGTGGAACCAGGAACAACTGCCTTTATTCTGTCGTTGCTGAATCCGCAACAAAACTATTGTGCCGACAAAACTTACGTACAGGTATTTGTATGCGGAAGCCACGGAATTTTCCCAGTGAAACCCACTCACATGTGGTAATCTGTTTAAAGACGTGTCTCTGGAATCTAGCTATACACAGACACCAAATTTTGCGCCTATCCAGAGCACAGTTTGGCCTCATGTTAAACAGAATTTTTTCTTACACAGAAAAAGCTTGTCAAATTGAAATGTTCGTTTTGCCTGCCGTCTAGCAAATAAATTTGAGTTGAATTAAAAAGTGCATTTATACCTAAGTGTACAGTCATTTGTACATTTATAAAAATGCATGCACTTCTTTTGTTACTGGAGCATTTTATAATTTTTCCTGAAAAAAAAACGAAAAAAAGTACCACTACCTATATAAGAGTCTGAACTACAATCCTTGTCTCTAACAAGATAGATTTTTTTCTTTTTCATTTGATCTTGGAGAAATGACTGCAATCACATGTTTGTAACTTCTTGCTAGGCAAATGACTTTCTTTAAAACTTTGTCCATAATATGTCAAATTACAGAAACTGGTCAAATTTACTCAGAAAGAAGGGAAAATTGCAATTGGCATTGGAAGAGTTTGAAGCAGCTAAAATGCCGTTTTCAAAATTATCGATACAAAATTCTTGGCGTAAAATGGGTTCGTTTCACAAAAAAGGCATACAGATTAAAACAAACAGATTGAAAGAGAACCAGTGAAAATAATAATGATAAAATTGTGACCACGCGTTAAAAAGGAACTTACTTTTTGGGGCTGAAATAAATTCACGGCAGTTAATTGTCTAAACTATTACGCCACAAAGTTAGCATGCAAAGTGAAGATTTATAGAAAAAACAATGAACTTTTTTCCTGGTTTTTTAAACTCTGTTAGTGTTACATTTTCCTCAAAAACATACTGAAAAGAGCTATGTCGGTTATTTAAAAGCGTTCTGAAGCTAAGCAAAATTTAACAATCACTTCACACTTCTTCACAAACACACTTCATTCACTTCACAATTCTCAAACGCCTGCTATTTTCACAATTCTTTTCATACCGAAGCAGTAGCGTGCCAAGAAGTACAGTTTTATGACAGATACTTGTGGCTAACCAATAAATTTTTTTTTTCGCAAATCAAGCGTAGTCATACCATTTTCAAAGCACCAATCCTCACTTTTTTCATAGGCAAATTGGGCATTTTTTTAAAAAGGCGTTTGGAATAGGCTTTTTTTTTCTGAAAAAGCACTTCATTTTTTTTTCAATTAAATTTGATCATACCATCGGGCGTGTACTCGGCGTGAACAGACCCGATCACAGTTTGGACACTCTCAACTCCTTCCGACACTTCAAAGTGATACAGGGTGTGAGTGAACACTGGCGGGAAGAGGTCAAGGCCTACTACTGTAATGAATACAGTCGATGGCTGTTCGGCCATTAGGCCCCCACCGTCTATGGCTGTAATGGAGAGGGTGTAAGTCGAGTTTTCAGCCATATCGTCCACTGAGGGAAGCGGTTTGTTCAGTCTCACATTTCCTGAAAATCCACACTTGAATCTGTTTGTCCTTTCATGCAAAAAGTATACTCGTATCTGAGTTCAAAACTTCTTAATCGAATCTTTTCTTTACTTTTTTGTGTAGATTTTTCGCAGTGTGTATAACCATCATGTGGCTCAAATTACTCATTACTTGAATGCATAGATCAAAAACTTACTATTTTTCCAGAATTTAAAAAATTTAATTGACCATCGAAAATTATAGACAGTCTTTTTTCAATAAATGATGAAGCCGGTACTCGTTCAGAAGTTGGTTCGAGCCTTGTGAGTGTCATTCAAACTAAGTATAGACGTATGGCCACTAAAGTATAGAAACTAAGTATGGTCCCATTATATCAATTGAAATCTACTCACAAAAATTGAAGGGGAGTTACCGATCAATTGAGTGTGAAATCATTTGATTACTTTGACCAGATCTTAAGTTCTTTTTCAGCGAAAACTGATTTCAGACGGCTTGAAATGCAAATAGTAATAAGCTTCAAAAAAATTTATTCGTGCATATGCCTAAGTGTTTTTGTGAAGAACTGCTAAAAAAGTTAATTTTTGTTATTATTTGATTTTTGGTTCTTACATGGGATCCTTTAAAATTTTTGTGACCACACTTTTAAGTCATGTTTTTAACCGACCTTCAAACTTGTCAATGAAAAACTGGTCATCTTGGTTCCCACTCTCGATGACGAAGTGTACTCTTCCGAACACATCTCCCCCGTCGTCGTCCCCCGCTGTCACCCGCAGAACCACCATCCCCACCCCAGTGGAGTGGGGCATGTCTTGTCTGTACTCGATCTCCCCCATCTCTGGTCTAGAGATACCGTAATATTATCTTGATGATTCTTTTCAAAAAATTTCGTTAAATTATCAACTGTTTCTATTATTTCTTATAATTCGTAAAAAATTATGTTTTCAGCTTTTTTTGAAAACAGAGCTGCTCTACAGGGTTATTACTTTAGTATTATGTATTCGGCGAATATCCACCATCGCAAATTATGCAGCTTTATAACCTAATTATGATCTAGCACCTATAGGATTTTTGGTTTCAAAACCGAAAAATGGACAAAAATCTGAAAAAATTAGGAGTAAGTGAACAAAATTTCATTTACAAAGTGATGTTGCTATCAATAGCTGGAACAACCCATGTAAGGTTGCCGTCAAAACTCTCGCTGAACTCATTATGGTGCCGAACTCACTTGAACTCATTGGCGTCGATTAACTGAATGAAAACATTAGCAGTTGAATTCTCCACATGCTCGACATCTTCCGCCGCACTCTTAGCTACAACTGAGAGCGATAGCAGTCCACCACTTAATGCCAGCCCCTCGAAATCCAGGATTTCCTGAGTGCATATCTGGCCTGTTTGGGGTTCAACTTGGAACCAAGACGAGAGGGCAGAGTCTTGAAGGAGGTACTGGATAGGAGGTGCAATGCATGATCCAGTGACTGCTTCGACCTAGCAAATAACATAATTGATGCGAAGAACATCAAAGGCTCTTCTACGGCTTTTTTCGTTATAAACTGATCTACGTGCCTTTCATTATTGACATTTGTAGGTTTTCAATTCAAGTTACAACCATCCAGCAAAAAAAAATGACACAAAAGTATGTTAAAGAGCGCAGATTGTAGGTTTTAGGCTTTTAATGAGTTCAACTGACGAATAGCCCACTTAAATTGCAGAAATTTTACGTTCGTTTCTCACTTTCTCAAATCACTCTCATATTCTCTAACGTCTTGTTTTATAGAGCTCGTAAGTGAAAAATAACTTTAGATTCATCACTAAAGATGCTACCCGCACCCGCAATGAGGTTCTACGGATTCTAATAATTAAGGTTCTAATAATTAATTATAATGACTTTTCATGGTCTGTCTCCGTAAAACTTTAAAACAATCGATTATAATGGATGGATAATTAGCATCATTTTAGAGCTTTTTTCAGGAAAGACCCCTACCAAAACACCAGCCTTGATTTTCAAATTATATTAATTTGCTTGAAAAAGTTAACAAAAAATCAGTGATTGATAGCGCCGATAATTAAGCCTTGGTTCGATGATTAAACCAAGGACTGTGCAGAAAGAAAAACAACGTGTCAAAAATATTTAGAAAATACATATCAGTGCTAACTTCAGGCGTCATTTTGAGCACCACTCAATTCAAAAATGTCATCACGAGATAAAACTTCAAAAAGTTGAAAGCTAACATTTTCAATGATCACGTATAAACTAATGTTGAATAACACATAACTGAAAATTTTTCAAAATCCTTCAGAACAAGTTTGGAGGTTTGTTTGACATTAAAGGGGGTTTCAATGCCTTTATTGTTTGCATAAATGATCTGGTTGTTCAAGCTTCAAGCTGAGCCACGTCTAAAGATAATGACAACAGTACAAGGTCATAAACAAACTTCAAGTGTTGAATTGAGCGCAACGATTATTGATTTTTTCAAAACAATTCACACCACACTTCGCATCGAAAGCGCAAAAATCAGCCGGTTTCTGAGTAACCAACACTTAATGTCCATTAATGTTTAGCTTATACAAAGTGTAACAAGACTGCTCGTATCAGGGCGAGTCCCTGAATGTTCCAACTGCCTTTTATTCTACACCGATCGCCCATGGATCATAATCGATTATATTGTCATAAAATGGTCATTATCTACAAAATTACCAAAATAATCGATTATAATCCATTAAAAATGGATTATAATCTCCATATTTTTTATGCCAATATAATCCATCGTCGTCGATTATAATGGATTTTTTCGAAAAATTAATCATGAAACTTAAAATTTTTTCAAAGTTACCTTATTTCCTGTGTAGTGCAGCTGTTACGTATTATGTTTCATAAAATGTTACATTTAACATTAAAATGTCTTATAACTTCTGAGTTTTTTGTCTTCCAGTTTTTCTACCCCTTCCCCCAGTTTTCTCCCAACCCCGTTTACCCCCACCCCGTTTACTCCCCTCCCCGTCTCTGAAAATTTACCACAACCGCCATTCGCCCCCCCCCTAATTGTTGAACACGAGTGGGTAGTTTTTATTGGTAGACTTTGGGGGAGGGGTTTATGATTGACACCCCCTAGTTTAACGCCCCTTTACTTAGCGGGTGTTTAAAAAAACTTGAGGGGGTGAAGTTGAGATATGTCATTTAATAAAAAACATGGCATACATTTCCTGCAAAATTTGCAAAGTTTCTCCAAAAATAATCGAATTTAGTTCTAAAAATAAAATGGATTATAATCAATTATAACGAATAATAATGGCTTTTTATTTCAAAAAATTGACTATAATGGATTATCTTGGCAAAACTAATCAATTTCCTTGCCAAAATAAATGGGTTATAATAGATTATAATGGATTAAAATGGATTATTTTTTCAAAAATAATCGATTAAAATGGCAATATCATCAATTTCGTGGTCTGAATTTTAAATCTGCAATGGATTATAATGGATTTTTTCTTGTCTCGATAATCCATTATAATCGATTAGAATCCATTGGCGCTCGGTGCGGAAAGGTCTATGGAGCAGTAATAACATGAAAAATTAAATGTAAGAAAAAATAAAAACATATATATATATTTTAATTTTAAGGTTTTTGCAAAAATCATCTCCCCACACGCCATATATAGAAGAAAGTGATAGTTTTTGCTCCCAGTAACAAATAAATCATGACAAAGAGGCTTCTTTGAACCAATATGCAACGATTTCTAAGACGGATTAAAACTCCGCTTGCGCATTAATAGCGCGGAATATATCGCGCGTTAATCATTATGAGGCCAAACTGTGCACTGTATAGGTGCAAAATTTTGACAGGTCTTTAAACATGTTAAACTTTTGTTGGACCGTTCAAAGGAAATGAAAGAACAAAAGAAGAACAAAGTGAGCGTCCTTGTTGCGGAATCCGCTTACAATTCTTAAAATGCACAGTTTGGCCTCGTAAAGATTGTCCGCAATTGGCCAAAATGGCAATCTTTAAACCCCCATAACTTTTTAAAAAAAATGATCACAGGTGAAATATCTTTTCAGTTTTAGGCTCAAAACAACAATACTTTTAGAATGATATAACAAATTCCGTCAAAAAGGCTAGTTAAAAAGTCGAAGTTTGTCTGAAGAAAAAAACCCCACACCGAGCTCAAACATTCCGTTACTTTCGTTACGAAAATCGGAACAAAAACGAAAATCAAATGTCGTTTCTTTGTTTTAGTGCATAGCGAGATTGACAAAAATTAAGCTTATTATACTATGCAAAAACGTATGATAACAAACTTAGCCTAAAATCTCTAAAAATAGTGAGTACTCACTCATTATTCTGAGTTGACTCAAAAAGCAAAAACTTCCTATTGATTTTTCTCAATTTATAACAGTTTTTTCAAAATTTTTCCTCGTTTTATATCAAGATCCTGAAAGTTTTCAAGCAATGTTTGCCTTTTCAAATTTCAATTTGCCTTCCAAAAGAGTAAAGTACTGGTCATATTTGATCCAATTGATAAAAGAGCAAGAAAACCTTCGCCGGATTTTTTGATACAAATTTGTTGACATGTCTATCTACAAGCCTCATTCTGTGATTCAAGCGATGAAAACGTTAAAAACGAGAATTCTCAGAAATCTGAAAACCTCCTATATACCAATTTAACTCATCTCATCACATGTTAAACTTGCCTTCATAAAACAGGAACCAACGTCGATAGCTTCACTTAGGTTCATCCCATACTCGTTTGTCGGCAGGAACTCCGGCGCCTCAGTTTCGATTCCAATGACGTCAACGAACGCAGTCGTGTCCGTGGACAATGCCGGATCTCCTGAGTCTGTGGCTCTGACTGGCAATTCGATGGGCTGTGTCTGTCCATTGAGAGCCTCGCATGTGATGATTTGAGAAAGGAAGATTTCGCCAGTTGACGAATCAATTCGGAAAAGAGACGAACTCGTTATTGCGAAACTGAAATTAACTATTATTCTGAATATACTTTTAACTTACCATGTGTTGACTCAATTAAATTGTATAAGAAAGGACAAACCTACAAACCGCATTCTATTTTTTACATTTTCATCTTAAATCTTTTAATTGTTTTTTTATTTATGTTGTTCGAAAATCATTTTAGTTCTCTTCGTTTGATCATCGAGATGAATATTTTGGTTATACGAGTTTTTTTTTTTCATTTTGTTTGGACGAACTTCATCTTAATGCAATCTCAAAAATGGACTAATTATATTCAACTTTGACTAAAAATAGGTTTCAAAACCGATGTTAATCTTCAAAACAACTCACGTTACTGTTTGATTCAAATCAGCGTCAGTTGCGAACACCTGGCCAACATATGTTTCAACTTGAGCATCCTCCATAACCGAAAACCTTAGCGCCAAGCTATTGAACACAGGATGATTATCATTTACATCCAAAACATCCAGAGTCAAAAACACTGAAACACTTCTGAACGGTTGCACGAGCTCGAAAGCCTCGACAACCAATGTGTGGGAATCCTGCTGTTCCCGATCCAGTGTTTTGCCCAGAGCTATACATTTCCCTTGAGGACAATTAACGACTTTAAACGACTCGCTAACATCCTCCAAGACTATGTCGACAGGCGCCGATTGAGAGTCTTGGTCGGTTATATCAATTTGGGCAATTGGTTGGTTTGTCGGATAATTCTCGGAAATGAATCCTCGTCTCAAATCATTGCTGTAAAATGTTAAGTTGATCTGCGGTGGGTGCTCGTTGATGTCTAAAATGGTTATGTCCACGTTTATTTCGACACTTTTGCGGGGTCCTGATGTCGGGGAGTCTCTGGCTCCAACCAGAAGCTTGTATGATGACACTTGTTCATGGTCCAGCTCTCGGGTTAAAAAAACTTCACCTGAAATAAACGAAGTGTGAGTTTGCCGAAGTTGAGTGATTAAAAAACGAATTCAAATTAGAACAAAAAATATTGAATTTGGAAAAAATCGAAAAATTGAAAATGATTAGCTAAGCTTCGATATCTATCAAAAATCTAGCACAGCGAAAAGTTTAAGAACTTCATAACGTTTATGTTGCTCTTATTCCTCGGAAAAGTTTTAAGTTGGTTATTGCCCGCACCGTTGCTCTTGGAGATGCCAAACGGCTCCTCTGACGCTGCTGATCCTGCCATGTAATACTCTATTCTCCCGTTGTCCCCCGAGTCAGCATCTGTCGCGTGTACTTTTCCAACCACAGACCCATTCAGTGAAGTCTCGTTTAGTTTGAAGCTGTAGCTGGAGAAGTCAAACTGAGGCCCATTGTCGTTCTCATCGATTATTTTCACAATCACAGTTGCAGTGGCTGCAACACAGCATTCAATTTAGAAAAAATTTGCAAAAAGTGTTTGAATTGTTTATACCAGCCAAATTGATTTTCTCAGATCTCTTATAAAGCTCATACGAGCCCTAATTTGCGAAATTAGTAAAAAAAAAAACAAAAAACAAGTAATTTTTGTAGACAGTTTAGCTGGCTATAAATGCTGTTTTTAACTCCTACCAGTTTTTGGTGGCTGCCCATAATCCCTCACAGAAATCACAATCGTCATAGTGTCAATTGCTCCTTCTACGTCCACATCTAGTTGCTCACGCGCCAACAGTGAAAGCTCCTCAGGACTCTCAAGCTCGAAAACTCCTCTTCCAGAATCCGATAAGATTTCGTATGAGTCAATTCCGAATAGTCCCGAGTTGCTGCCATCAAAGTCGAAAGCGTTCAAGGGCGGAACGCAATCTGTATTCAAATTAATGGTGTCTTTCAATGTCTCGCTGACATTTACTGTGCATGCAGGGGTTGAGAAGAATGGGTCATGATCATTTATATCTTCAACTTTGACTACTATGGTGTAAACTTGGCTTTCAAAAGAGTCAAAAACGTCCGCCTCGTACTCGAAACAAGCTTCCCTATCAAGTTGGGTTAAAGTTTGGAGGGAAAAGTTCGCATAAATTCTAACAGAGTCGCCCAAAGATTTGCAGTTAGGATGAGGGGTGAACTGACTTAAGATTTGAATTCCGTTTAGATTATTGGAAACGCCAACGTTTGGATCCAATGTCTGAGGCGGCAGATTTTCCTGAATTGTGTAGGCAATGATTTGTGCTGATGATGCGTTTGATTGGGTAATACAGTAAATAAAAATAATTAAGGCACAGGAAATTAAATTAAAAAAATTAAAATGCGACATTTTTGAATTGAGCCGTTCGGTTTAAATCTAAAAATGTTTGACACTTGTCAGAACTGGAAAGTTAAAACTATTAAAATTGTAGCTTTGTGGCTAGGAGAGATTCAGTAATTTTGATTTTTTAATCGAATGAATGGTCATTTTGAAGTTCACCACAATCTCAAAAGTTTTTTTTTGTTCAAGAGTGTTACTTCAACATCGAAAAGTTTGCCTCTCTATTGGAATTTTAATGTTGCTCAAATAATGGCCGGCGTCAAATTGAAAAACTTGATTTGCTCGTGTGCTTATTTAAGATGTTCATCGACGATAACTAACTAATCGCAGGTTATTGTACTGTGAGGCTTTAGTGAAGTTTCAGTTGATTATTTGTGTCTAATCAGTGGTTATAAAAAAGCGTCGTTTTTGTTTATGACTAAACGAAAGTGCTGAAGAATGGTCCAAATTTAATATAACCAATCTAGACCAAATTCAAAGCGCGTGTCTTACATGTTTGGAAAAGCAGATCAGTACATTGTTTTTAATCAGCGGATTAGTTTTTTATTCAAGTGAGCATATTTATTGGAATTGAAATTTTTATTGGGAGTGGTATTACATTAAACAAAAATAAATTCTATAGCCATCAATCTATTATTCGTGGACGATTGTTTTGACTTGTAAATTTTGGACACTGTAATTTGAGATGCGCTTAATTCAGCGGACAATATTAGATTCAGTTTATTTAGATTTAAGATTAAAATTTAGAATAATTTTAACAGAGGATTAACGAGGGTTGATGTTGGGGGGGGGGGGGGATTTAGGGACAGGGGGCGCCTTGATGTATTTGCTTGGGAAAATTGCAGCATGGGTCGCGCAAAGTCAGAAGAAGGGTCAGCAAAGTCGCAACATGGGTCGAGCAAAGTCGCATCATGTGCCCGGCAAAATATTAGTCGCAACATGGATCGCCGTGGGGTTAGCTTTACCAGCATAATTGCTGATCATATACAGGGCTGCCACGAGAAAGCCTACACATGGTCCTAAAGTGAGATATCAGCAAACTTTTTGGGGCAACAACAGAGACCTTACCACGAAAATGGCAGGCTAGAAACTATTCAAATCGAAATTAAATCAACAAGTTAATTTACCTTTTAAACTGAAACTAGAAAACAAAACTTAATCAGAAGCAAGTCGCTCAAACTTGGGTATTCTGTTGATCAAAGATCTGTTCAGATGTAGTACCGGTGTAGTTTCTTCGTCATGATTGCATTGAGAGAGCGTTTAAACAGTGTTCGATCTTCAGTTTGCCTTCGTTAGAGAAAGACTGAGAAAAGCGAAGGCCCAAGTTCTAAATAACAGGGTGGTCTAGACGCAACATAAATCAATAGCCAGACGCAACATAAGGCAAAAGAGTAAACTTAGATGAAAACTGCTAAATGACCCAGTATTTATGTATTTTTAATGTGCAGTTTTTTAGATCAGATACAGGAGCGCCACAAGAAGGCCTACACATGGTCCCTAAGTAAAAAAGAGTAAAATTTTTAAAGAAGAAACAATGTCGTCACCACAAAAACGAAAAGCTAGAAAACAACCAAACCAAACATTCATATACCAAAATATCAATTAGCCGTCAATTATCATACCTAACAAATTTATCTCAGAGCTGAAACTAGAAACAAAGTTTCTGAAAATGAATTTTTCAACGCCATTTGCATGAATTGCCATAGAAATTCTAAAAAAAAAACGATTGATACTCGACTAATTTTTGTTAATCATATCAGTGCTCGACCAAAAAAGAATGGCCGAGACAAAGCTTTGGATCAAGCACAAATTTTAAACATATCCCGAGCACATTCAAAAATTAAATCGAGAATGTGGAGCCACTCACAAAAAACTTAAATGATCATCGGTTTTTCCCAGTAGCCATGTTCTCATTTGTTGGAAAAGTTTTTGTTGTGTTTTCTTCAAGTTATTTGAAGTTTTGTATATGCCTGTGACATCAAGATCCGTCATTGTCCCCAATTTATACCAGTCTTAAATTGAAGCCTGAATTTTCACTTTTTTTAACTGGACGTTTTTTGTTTTGATTTTGCTCTTATAGTTATATGAAATGTTCATCGATTTCGCCCAAAAGTTTTTATAACTTGAAGTTGTTTTATTTCCTGAGTTTTGAAGTTTTTTTATGCCCGTTAGACAATTCACATCGGCATAGAAGATCTTTATCGGTTTCTTCCACTACCAAATTCTTGATTAAATGACATCATGTTATTACATATGAATTCAAGATCATGTTTGCTATGCATGTGACACAGTTTATTTTAGCGTAGAGCAATTTTACTGGAACCCATTGTATCAAGCGTCAAGATGAAATCTTGCTTTTTCACCAGAGTTATTGAATCAATTATTTTTGCCTGTGACAGAACTCATTTTGACATGGCAAGTCTTCATCGGTCTTGCTCTTTACCCCGAGGTTCATTGGCTAGCATTTTTTTACTTCTTGGTTTTTGAAATTTCTTTCTATTCCTTTGACACAGTTTATATCTGTATACAAAATCTCCATCAGCATGGCGAATACCGCTCACTTGATAAAATGAAATCTGCTTTGTACTTATGATTCCGAATCTGATGATTTTATTCCTGTCGAACAGTTTATGTGACGTAAATGTTTTCATGGTCATCCACTCAATAACACAGTCTTCAAGTTGAAACGTAGTATTTTACCAGCGGTTCTGAATCAGATGTTTTCACCTGTGACACAAGTCAGTTTCACATTGGAAAGGTTCATCGATGATGCTCAACAGACCGCCCATTGGTTGAGATTGAATATTTTTTCCATATTTTTGAAAGTTTTTGAATGCCGGTGACACAGTTCATATCGCCGTAGAAGTTTTTCGTTGCTTTCGTCCAATGCCGTTTTTGATAATCTGAAATTTTCTTCTGAACCATGACTCTCTAGGTGATTTTTTTTTTCAAAGCCTACGACTCAATTCATCTTGGTAAAGGTTACATTCATCGGTATCAGCTCAATGAAATTTCCTTTAAGTTGAATTCACATGTTTCAAGTGGTTTTCGAATTGGATTTTTACAAGTGCGACTCTGCTCTATTAGGTATATGAAACGTTTATTGCAGTTCGCCAGCAGCCTGGTCTTCAAATTATGAAGCAATTTTCTCCAGGATTTTTGAAGTTCCTTTTGGTCAATGTGGTCGGCATAGAAGCCCTTCATTGGTAGTGCCCAGTATAGCTCTTGATAAATTAAAATAAACCTTTTACCTCTCACGATGATGCTTTAAATTACTATGAAACAATTATTTTTAACTTTATCGGTATCCCCTTAAAAAATTAGGCTTCAAGACGAGTTTTCGCTTATTCCATTCCTATCGAATCGGATGTTTTCACCTGAGACACAATGCATTTAGGCATGGGAATTGTCCATCTGTGTTGCCCATTACTTTAAATTTCATTGGTTTGAATTATTTTTCCATGTGATCTTTAAAGTTTCATTCTAATCCTGCGGCTCAGATAATATCGGCAGAGAAGATCTTCTTTGGTATATTTCAATACGATGCTCTTAATAAAATCATTTGTTACCCATTACTCTTAGTAAATTGCTTTTTATGCTTGTGACACAGTTGTTTTTGGCGTAGAAGATCTTCATTGTATCCGGTCCATGCACCAGTATTCAAAATGGAAAACTATTTTTAACATACTTTTACAATCGGAATGTTTGGCTGTATAACAGCTGTGTTTTTATTTGCCTGGGACAGTTTTGTTTTACTTTCGTGGAATCTATTTTCATGTTTTAAATGTACAAAAGTTTTGATTGGGGAAACACTGACTCACTGCGTAAGCCATTTTGCTCAGTCATGAGTAGAATAAAACGATAGAATTGCTCTATCTGCATTTTGGTTGAACTCAAAGCATTGTTTCAGCCAATCGGTAGAGCAGGTTAAGGTTTGGATGAGCTGCATTTATCGCTAGAAAATTTTTAGAAATCAAACACATTGATTTTGTTGGACTTTGGTTGACCTATATCAATGATACTTCACTCAAGTCTAAGATTAAGTCTGATAACCAAAAGGATTTTCTGGGCAATTTCCGAAAAAGACATAGTGACAATTATTTCAGCTAAACCTGAAACCTTAGATGCAACAAAACACTACCTAATGCTTGATTCTCACTCTTTGTTAATTCACATTGAGAGCCAATTTGTCGAAGAATTTCTCCAGTCAAGGCAATAATTAGTAGCGTTGCGCACCTATTGATGTGATTACCGTGAAAAAATTACCTAATTTTTTGGCGAACTTGTAAGCTGCTGTCGGACAAACAAAAAGAATTGAGCCAAATTTTTTTTATTCCAGATGCAGAGATAAGCGACGCCCCTGAAGTACCCAAGCAGTTATCTGAAGGTTCAATCAAATTGCAAAACAAACTGCGGCTAGTCAAGAAAGATGCAATGAGCTTTCGCCTGATAAGTATGCGATGAAATAAAAGCAAAACAAAAAAATAACAACCCATCCGTTAAAATATGAAAGTATAGTTTTGATAATACAGAAAATAACGATCCGCCACCTACCAAAATGGAATCTGGTGATTCAATGATAACGAGTCCATTAAGTATTAACATGTTAGGCTTGAGCAAACCATTCGTTCGGTTTCCCTCAATGTCTCCGGCTACAGATAACTGATCTTGCATTGGTCGGAAGAGATGGATGATTCAGTCAGTGCCTAGATTTGAGACTGATAATTTTGATATAGTTGCAATGAACCCACGTTCACTTTTTTCAACCAGAAAAAGAGAATTTTCCAGCTGATGCAAAGCCCCTATTTCCATCAATCAGGGCTCGGAAGGCAAAACTCCCTGCTACTCAATTGTTTTTAACTTTCGCGATAATGGTTTTTGCATGTTGCCGATTTAGTCAGATAACTCTCAGTGTTTCTTCCCATTCCAAATTTTCTGCCATCAATGTCAATTGTTGTCAGATCTTCTTATCAATCTATCAGTTTTCTCAGTGGCGTTTTTTTCATTACAACTCATTGAGTTTTAAAAGACATATTTCAGAGAAACTACAGATATATTCTGACGTATAACTTTAATATCCTAGAGAAAAAAAAACAAGATTTTTGTTTGGAAACCTTGTCCCTGAATGAAATTCTCAATGATTTGTCATTAGATTTAGTCTTTTCAGCAGATGAGGCAAACTTTGTTAGAACCAGCGCACTGCATAGAACTTTTTTTGTGCGATTAAGTGAAACTCCCTCCAATTTCCAAAGTTCCAAAAAAACTTCTTGTTGGCTTTTGGGTTGTTTCAAGAGAACCTCATTGGCTTAATGTTC